TGTTTTTACTGGAGGGCAAAACGTGTGGAGTTTTGAGATGTCTGTGGGCGGACAGTTTTTTTCTATGTGGCTATACATGTTAGACACAGACTTCTCTAGTTCTGCTAGGTTTTTCACGTGTCTGAGGACCCCTTTTGGGTGTCTGTGAGGTTCCACGTCACACAGCGGTTTGGATGCTGGTGGCTGTGTCGTCGAAGATTTAGCTTCTCTGGCGTGTGGGACACTGGCAGTGCATTTAACGGCTGGGATACAAATGTCTGTGGGTGGAGCTGAAGTTGAGGGAGGCAGTGGACAAAGACGTGGAGCTGGCGGTCGAGGAAGAGGAGGAAGCGATGGTGGTGGGGGTAGAGAAGAGGTCCGGGGGGCAGAAGTGGGAAGAGAAAATGTAAGAAGTTGGGGAGGAGGAGGGTTAGGGGAAGAGAGGGGGAGAGGGAAAGTAGTAAAGGCAACAGGAGGTCGAGGAAGAGGAGGTCGTGGAAGGGAAGCAGGGACGTTAGGTGGATGGGGAAGGGTTTCAAAGGAGTTCCTCTTGGTTTCCGTATCTACCGTACAAGTGGAGGTCTCTCTCTTAAAGCCTAGAGAATTTAAAACACAAGGTCTCGGAGGAGGAGGTTCCAGGGTACAGTCAGGAGGACTGACAACGTTCGGTTCTGACCGGAGTTCCACCGCTCTTGAAATAGTCGGCAGAGTTGAGAAAGAAAAGTGAGACCAAGATGAAGAAAAGGAAGAGCTCGTGGATAGAGATTTCAACTGCTCTGTCTGTTGTACGACCAGGGTGTCTCTGTGCCCGCTTTCTTTCTCTGACCCGTGGGCATCTTCGGTTGTGAGCATGACGTTGCTGCTACCTCTCGGGATTGGGTGGGGTCCAGCGCTTTCGCATTCAGCTTTCTGCCTGGTGATCTGCCACTCTACCAGGTCTATGGTCTCCGGTCTGTGTGGAGTTTTCCACATGAGCCTCCTAGGAAAACTCACAGACTGGTTCCACATCCTCTGAATCTTTTCTCGTGGACCCCTCAGAGACTGACTCTTAACTTGTGGTCTGGGTGGAAACAGCTCTTCAAAATCTGTTCTTGGTGAAAGGTCGGAATTGGTTGACCTTGGACCTATACTCTCCATATAGAGGGGATTATGGGTACTTAAAGCATCCTCATCGGGAAGAAATGAGAACGTCCTTGCTGGCTTAGGCTGGCTGTCCTTAAGCGGTCCCTCTACATGAGCCGGCTCATGAGACTCAGTGGTACTGGACGAAAAGGCCATCCCATCGTGGTGACTGGTCCTGTCTTCTGGGACTGAGTTATTTCCCCTGCTTTGTTCAAAATGGTAGAGAAGGAAAAGACTTGAAAGAGAAGAAGGAGACAGGTTGTGAAACAGCGTTCATAAGAGAGCCTTTCTCATGGCTACCACTCTACACTACAAAGGCCTAACCATGCTAAAGCCCTGAAGGGGAACATCGCTTTCAGGCTCTATTCTAGAAAAGACAAGGAGCTGGGAGAGGCCTGAGATGCTAACATTAAAATCTCTAGACTGTCCCCCCCCCTTTTTTTTTTTGCAAAGTATCTGGGTACATATCTAATGGTTTGCTCCTGTATAAGCCACTGCTTTGGAGAGTGTAGATGGGCACCTCAGTTTTTTTTGGTGCGTGTACCCCAGGGAAAAAAACCTCAGCTTTGACTGGGCACCCCACCTTCCTGGAGGATGCTCAGAGCCCACTGTTAGGCATGGGTCTTGGCAGTATCTCAGTTAGTAACTGCCCTTTATCTTGTATCTCAATAACTCTGGGAGCCAACTATATCCTCTGGCATTAAATCAAATTCGCAAGGCAATACAGAAAAGGATAGTGCCCCTCCCAGCTCAGAAGAACGACAGCTTCCAAAGACAGGATGGAAAGTCCTCAGGGAGTTCAGAAATCTGGACTAAGAAATCAGCTTCACCACACAATCCTGAACTAAAATGACTTCTTCCCATTTAAATTCCAGGCTTAATTATTTTTACAATACAGAAAACGTAAATAGAAAGAGGGAAAACGTACATTTTCTGCAGATATAATGTGGATCAGATTTTAATCGAGATCCCCGTTAATGAAAATATTGAGGTTAAAATAACATTGCTTTGATATCACTGCATGGTTTGCTCACGCATGAATACTGAACAAATGCCACAGGAGGTGTGCATTCCGATTAAAGTTAAAAAGTTTCAGAGCACAAATCAAGAGCCTGAACTACAAGCCTTGGAACCCTTCCTTCAGGAAGGTTAGGTAGCGTACTTTACATAACCCCTGATCAAGTTTGTTCTCAAGCTGAAACATAACAGCAAATTAATTTTGTCAATTGTTTAATGTTTAACATAAATAAAAATAAAATATAAATATTTTAAATAAGAAATAAATAGTTATTCAGGATGGGGTAATAGATTAGGCAATAAAATGATATGTAAATTAGGAATTTGATGAGAAAAAACAGGCATGCTCACAAATGGTTCTGGATTATCAGCCAATCTGAATAATTTAGAAAGTATAGACAAGTGGACCAAAAACAGATAATAAAGATTTTTGCCTTTCCTGAGCTTGGGAAGTGATTTTGAAAGCATATCATTTAACCTGACATTATATAGCCACCAGTTTTGGTGATTACATATAGGTCACTTATGATAGAAAGAACTCTATGTCTGAGTTAAAGATAGAGATACTTTTGAAACCTCCCGTGGTGGGTCTGAGGCTGTCACACCAGAAGGGAAGTAGGCGGGGAGGATGAGATTGCCTTTTAAACACAAACGCCTACATCCTACATTGTGACAGATGTAGACCACTGTGCGGACACAATACTGCTCAATCTATCCCATTACATCTACTTTCTAGCAGCCTTTTATTAAAATGATATTGTTTACTTACTTATGCCTATGATTCCACAGGTGAGAAAGAGGAAACAGGTGACAGGGAGAAAAAGTTTTAGCTGTCATTAATTTGAGGCGATTATGCAACACTTGCTTTAAACAATAACACATCCAAGAGAGAGAAAAAAATGCCTGTTTATTTTTTAAAAAATTTCTTCCCATTTATTCATGAGAATAATGCCTAATAATGTTTCAGATAAAATCTTGTGGCATATATTCCAGTGTCTTATCATGTAGGAATCTTATTTAACAATATATTTGCTAGAGATATGTACAATTTATCTCTGTGAAACATGTGTTACCTTAATCATGAAACATAAACCTCAAATAATAACAAGAATCATGAATGTGTCATAACTTTAAATACTGGTTAGTGTGTGCTGTGTTAGAGAGGTGATACTGGGTTTGGGGAAGAAAGTAAATGTATCAAGTACAAGATGAGTATTATTATAGAATGTTAAATTTATATGAAGTTATTAATTACGATGTGAAAATTTGTTTTTTTCAAAACTGTTTTTTTCTTTTAAATATAATTGGCAATAATTTCCTTGGAGCTAGTTTATTTTGTAGCTTTCTAGAATCCTTATCAAACATTTTCAATAGAAAAGTGAAGCATTTCTAAAAATGAGATAAGGTTCAGAATTAAAATGTTTCAATACATAATTGAAAAATCTACAACTTTTCAAGTGCAAATAGCCCTTAAAGACTCTTAGTTGCAATTTTCCCTCACCAAACTCTACTACTCTACTGATTGAATATCTATCTATCTATCTATCTATCTATCTATCTATCTATCTATCTATCTAACTAACTATCTATATTAGCCATTGTTCTCATGTGTAAATACTGCTAACTTGAAACAATTGCTTTTTATCTAAACATTGTTGCTGGAAAGAGCTGCTCAGTATAATCAGAGAATCAACTCATATTGGCTCAATTCCTATTTCACCAGTAATTCAAAGAGAGCATCATTGCAGACTATGAAAGAGGTGAAAACAGATATTTAAGGAATGAATCCTGTATTCAAATAGAATGCTGTGCTTTAACATACATAGGATTTATATACTGCATATTATATCTTAAGCATTAGATAATATTTATACAACACAAAATGGCACCCATATACATTTTACAGCTTCATATATAATATTATTAATACTGTCTATACTATTCATGCATCTGTCTAAGCTGGGTTTTCCTGTAGAAACTATTTTCATGATTTTTTGAGATTGCTTTACTACTTTACGTAAATGCTAGAAACATAAAAGATACGTGTTTTTAGTCACTAATAGCAAAGTTTCCTGAGTTTATCTCTCGTCAAAATTGTATAGTATACTTGACTGCTTATTATGTTCCAAAGTAGATCCTCTTGAAGCTTTATAATAAATACAAATTAAGTCACACTGCATGGGTTGTATCATTTGACAGAAACAGTTGCAAAGTCTCAGCTGTCCATTAACAAGCTCTGTCAAAATGTCTGCCTTAAAATTGCTTAGGAATTCCACAGTGTAGAAGTGAGAACCACAGCTGCTTCCAGAGCAATACAGTGAGCAGACTGTTCAGAACACACTGTGTGTGTCATTTAACAGTTCAGATTTAAGTTTTCCTTTCTATAATAGCCTACAGTAGTATCTTAAGAATGCCTGGTTTTTAAACTATAAAATTTGGCTTTGACTGACAAATGGGAGGTTTTTTTTTTCTTTCTGCTTTTTTTTCTTATCTCAAATCAGGAATTACCATCTTATACCATTTGGATTTTTAAAAATGATTTCCTACTTGGTTGCCTTTTATAAATCTATAATTTTGTTCAGGAAATTGTCCCAATATCATTAAGCCTGTGAGATTAAATATTCAAACTCTGTTCTGCAGTTGTGTGGTTGCAAGGATGCTGCCTTTTAAAAAATATATTTTTCTGCAATTTTCTTTTTTCCTTGATTTACTTCCTTTTTATTATTGGCTACAATTTTCCAACCTAACTTTTAAATTATTTTCGACTTAGTAATAAATGATAGAGTGTAATAGGATTACAGCTGTATTTCTGCACAGGCTTAGAACTAGCTTCACTCAGAGCATCCACTCCACCCAACACAGCTGGTCCCGCCGTTACTCACATGGTGCTGTCTCCCAGTTCCTCATAGAGATGTGGCCCTGGAGGAGGTGGTGGTGGTGGTGCCGCAGGCATGGGAGCTGCAGGCTTGGCTGCAGGCATGGCAGACTGGATTCTTGCAGTCTTGGTGCACTCAGCCTGGCGTCTTGGGTAGAGTAAGGTTGTCTTGTAAAACTCAGTTTAGAATCCAAAAACAATCAATAGGCTATTATTTAAATAATGAGGTCCTTTATCAGTGGGACCCACTTAAATTCGGCACAAATATTTGAACTAATAAATTGACATAACAGAATAACCTCATGTTCAATATGCAAATGTTTTCCCCTTGAATAAACAGAATTCACAGAAATATTTTCAAATTAAACTAATTTCTACTAATGTCCATGTCAATGATGTTAGAGGTGATCCATGTTTTTAAATGTCACAGACGTATTTTATATCTTTCTTAGAATTCAGGCATCAAATTGTAAAAATGATTAGAACACACCTTACCTTTCATGTTACTGTTCTGTATAACAAATGGTCTAAAATCAGCTTAAACACACACACACACACACACACACACACACACACACACACACACAGAGCTCAAAATCTTAAACTCAAACAAGCACTGAGAAAATAATACACAGTTCAGGATGATATGACTACTTGATCAATATAATCTGTGAGTTCTCATTTTCTATTATATAAATTCATGTGCAAAAAATATTCATAATTATACTTACACTTTAAACCTGATTTGGAAAGCAGTGTGTAGGAGGAAGAGAGAGCGGCATTAGAAATACTGTACTAACGGATTTATAACACGACTTTCTATAAATTATGAACAATTTACTTATAAATCTCCTAATGCCACAGTAGCAGGGAAAGGAAGGACTTTAATTTGGTGAGTGAATGAGCAGTGTCTTACAAGTTATTAAAACATTCACCAAAACGAAAGAAATAGGTGAACTGAAGGGAGTAAGAAAAACTGAATTAAAACACAGACCTGTGAGTTTCAAATCTCATGAGAAAACAGAAACTTGAGGATCGCCTGATATTTGTCAGGTTTTTTTTCCCCATTGGAGGAATATTGATTTTACTGGTAACAGAATGTGATACACTCCTTTAAGGAATAGTTGACTGATAAAAGAGAAAGAACACTTCAAGATGTGAGTGTCAGCCAATAAGAGGCTAGAGCAGATGGGCCAAGCAGTGTTTTAATTAATACAATTTCTGGGTGGTTATTTTTGGGCTAAGCTAGCCGGGTGGCCAGGACTAACAAGTGGGCCTTCATCCTTGCAACAAACACTACAAAATAAATGTGGAAATTCATACTATATTGATGTCTTAGTGATGTAAAGTGATTTCTTTCAGTACTGTTTATGGGGAACATTTAATATAATATATAATAACTGTTTTGTTAAGAAAACATTAACCTTAGCTTGTATCAGCCCAAATGTTATGCTTGCAAGTCCACATGACCTTTGTTATAAAGTTATCTGTGAAACATCTTCGCATGGAACACATCTTGGATTCAAGTTGGAATTAACCCACTGCATTCAGTTTAAGAGAAAATTATTTAGTGATTGAAAAGAAGGTATGATGACCTAATTTCAAGCGTCAACTTGACACCCCTGGGAAGGTGGAAAACTCATTAAGGAATTGCTTCTATTGGACTGGCTTGTGGGTGCTTGTATTTGTTCCCCCCTCCCCCAACATCTCACAAGTTAGAAACATCTGGGAGGAAAGACACTCAGTGAGGAATATGCCTCCATCAGAATATGCCTCCATCAGAGCGCCCACAGGTAAGTCTATGGGGCATTTCTTTGATGGATGATTGAGGTAGGCGAGCTCAGCTTATGGACTGTGGTGTCATTCCTGAGAATGTATGCTTGATTGTATAAGAAAGACGGCTGGACATGACCCTGGAAGCAAGTCAGTAGGTAGAACCCCTCCACTGCCTCTGTTTCAGTTCCTGCCTCCAGGTTCCTGTCTTGAGCTTCAGTCCTGGCTTCCCTGGATTATGTTTTATAATCTGTAAACCAAATAATCTCTTCCTTCTCCAAACTGGTTTTGGTCAGTGTTTTTATCACAGTAACAAAAAGCAGGTTAGGACAGAAAGGTTTCAGTGTAAGAATCTGTCAGGAGCATCTTAATACTTTCCCTGTAGGTATTTTAAATAACGGATAGCTTTTCTGCCATTATTTGCTATGTATCAAATATTTATAAAATTTATTGTAATCATCCATCATTTACGCTTTGTGGCACCCTAAGGGCGACTTCTCCTTTTCATCAACTCTTCATTTTTTAAAGTGGCTGCCAGGAAGGATGCGTTACTCATTTCTCATACCTGGTATTAGACCCAATGTATTTCTTGCTTACCTCATTGCAGATACTTCAAATACTTAAATACCTTGACTACCTAATGTACTTTACTGTAGGAAGAGAGGAGACTAAGACTCTATCTAGCCATCCTGTTTATGATAAGATATGCCCCAGCAGGGGGTGCCAGGAAGAGAGAAGTCACATCAAAAGTCACAGGTGTGCTGTTGAGAGTTTACCACGATTTTGATAACACTGCATTGTCTTCATAGAGGAAAATGTAGCTACAAGGATTAAAATGAACAAAAAAAGAAGAAAGAAAGGAAGGAAGGAAGGAAGGAAGGAAGGAAGAAAGAAAGAAAGAAAGAAAGAAAGAAAGAAAGAAAAGAAGAAATGGTAGAACAACTAACAAGACAGTATCTGGCCAGGTTAGAGACCCTGCGATCTTTTTCTTGAAACTGGATGAAGAGGGACTCTGATACCATCTTGCTCTGCTTTCTCTCTGGGGATTTTCTTGAGAGCTTTTGGCTTTCAGAAGAGAACCCACAAAGCCAGGAAGATAATGGCCCTGTTAGCATAGACTTATTAGGAGCAAAGGGTCCTAAGAAATGTATAGCAAGTCTGCGGTACTGCCCTTGAGGGAGACGTTTTTGCTACAGGCAGGAAAACACAGTGACGAAATAGCTATCCCAGCGACATTGTGCCCCAGAGGCAACTTCCCGAATACCTTCCTGAGAACATCCACTGAGCGTCTCCCATACTCACTGTCGGTAGCTCACTAAGACAACCAAGATGGCCGGGATGCAGCAGAGGATGATGATGAAGGCCAAAGCCAGCAAGGCCCCTTCCGTGTACCCTAAGCTTTCCCCTCGCTTCTTGATGCTCGTCACGGCCTCAGGAGTCCGGATCTCCAGAATGCGTCCTCCTTCCCCGTAATAAGGTTGGAAGTCTTTATTGATATCGAGCAGTTTGCCATCCAGGAATCTTTATTGCGAGACAAATCGAAAAACTAATTACGTTAGAAGGGCACAGCCGATTTGAAATTAAAATATATCTTTGAAGTCGTTTGATATTTTGAATGTAAAAAGCCAACTGTGCGTGAGGGATAGTATTATTAACTTAAGCCCTAGGAAGGAAGCACACCTGTAAGGGATTGTCTAGTTAAGGTGAGCCTCTGAGAATGTCTTGACGACACAGAGAAAGGAGAACCTGCCCACTGTGGGTAGCACTGGTCTTTAGACCAGGGATACTGGATTATATATCGGGAGATAGTGTGCACAGACCACGTGTGTGGGTTATTCTCTTCCGACTGTGGACGCACTGTGATTAGCTTTGGCCACCTTCAGCCTCAGTTACTGCTCCACCATGAGAGTCTATAACCTGGATACTGTGTGCCAAGGAAACCATTCCCCCCTTAAGTTGCTTTTATCGGAGTGTCTTTATCATAGCAACAAGTGAAACTGCCGATAGTAATTATGCACTCCTTACCCCCCAAAGCAAGAAGGGATTGTGAACACCGTCCCAGTAAATAAAAATTAAAGTTTAAAGAGGTTAAACAGGTCTAGCCTTACTCATGACAGGATACAGGGGAAGAGTGTGAGGTTATATAAGTTATATGTCTATGAAGGAAAGAAAAATACAAGCTGAGCATGGTGGCACACAGTGGCAATCTCAGAGTGGGGAAGGTAGCCATGGAGGGTCATCAGCTCCAGCTGTGAGTTCCCAAATGGTCTGAGGGTCAATATTCATTTAGAAGCTACGTATTTTCATTCTTTAAAAAATGATTTATTTCTTTTACATCCCAGCCACAATCCCCCGTCCCCTTCCCAGTCTTTTCCCTATCCCTTCTCTGTTCCTACCCCCCAGCCCACTCCTCCTCCATCTCTGTCCAGGAAAGATCAGGTCTCCCATGAGTATCAACAAAACATGGCATATCAAGTTGCATCAAGACTGAGCACCTCCCCCACTGAGGCTGTGCAAGGTGACCAAGAGAAAAAGAGTCCCAAAAGCCAGTAAAAGAGTCAGACAGAGAGCCTCCATTCCCACTGTTAGGAGTCCCACAAGAGTACCAGGCTACACAATTGTAACACACACACACATACACACACACACACACACACACACACACACACACACACACACAGAATGCCCAGGTGATGTTCATGCAGGCTCCCCAGTTGTCATTCAGTCTTTGTGAGCTCCCATGAGCCCAGGCCAGTTGATTTTGTGAGTCTTCTTGTGGTGGCCCTGACCCGTTTGATTCCCACAATCCCCCTCCCCTCCTCTCCTGCACAATTTCTTGAACTCCAAGGGTCTGCATCCATTCCCATCAGTTGATGGACAACTCCCCTCTGATTGGTCAGGCACCAATTCAGTCACTGGAGATGGCCGGATTAGAGCATTATCTGCTCTTGCTAGGACTCTAAACTGGGCTATCCTTGCAGATTCCTGGGAGATCCCCCCCCCCCGCCACTAGATTTTTATCTGACCTCCACCCCACCACTTCCAAAAGTCTCCTTCGCACTCTTCTCTGATACCCCCAAACTGATCACCTGTGATCCCATCCTGACCCTCCCTCAGGTCACTCACAACAGCTCTTCTACTTCCCTTTTCCAGAGGTTTCCATGAACCCTCCCTGCCCTCTAGCCTTCCTGGGGCTAGGAATTGCAGATCTGGCTGTCCACCAGTAAATCTGAAGTCTTCTTCTGGAGTTGTAGTTATGGGGTCCTTAGATCCGGTCTGGCCTCTGGTAGACTGGAAGTCTTCTTCCAAAGTTGTCGATCAGGATATGGAGCCAGGGGTCGGGGAATGGAAGTGTGTGCAGTTTGGGGTTGTTGGGCAGGTTTTAAATGAGTTTTGTGGGTTGTGGCTCGGGTCTTATCTGGGCTTCCTAGAATCAGCCTGGCCTCCCTTGTAAGGCTGCTGGCGCTGTGGGCCCTAGCATGGAGCTCATGGGAGAGGTGAAGTCTGGGGTTATTGAGTGGATTTTAAGGAGTGTTAGAGGGCAGTGGGCAGTATCTTACCTGGGGTCCCAAGCTCCTGCCTGACCTCTGGGAAATCTGAAGACTTCTTCCAAAGTAGTTGACCAGGACACGGGACCCAGGGGAAAGGGTGCAGTTTAAGGTTGTTGGACAAGCTTAAAGGGGTTCAGAGGGCAATGGGTGGTGTTTTTCCTGGAGTCCCTAGGACCACTCTGGCCTCTGGTAAAGCTGCCGGGAATGTGGGTCCTAGTGTGGAGCCCAGGGAAGGGGGTGCAGTTTGGGCACTACCTATTTTCTTAACTAAAAATTATATACTATATAAACATGTACATAGTATATAATATACAAAAATAAGACGTATGTATCTAAATGGGGGTTCATACCAAGAGGCAGACATTACGCCTAGGGCTCTGACAATAAATTAGTTAATTATTCTTATTACTAGTTTTGTTTCCTATTTTTTGACCAAAGAATTCAGCATCCTCAGATTTTTTATTTTCAGATGATGAAAATTGAGAGAATAACCTTATTGTCTATGGCTGGGTATTAGACAACACGTACAATATCTTGGAATAATTTTTAAAGCTTGATTTCCATTCCTATAGCTTTAATGCTAATATCTGCATTTTGGGTGAGTGTGTGTGTTATTTATGAAAAATTCATATGTTTAAAATGGCTAATGTTACTCAGGTAGTAGTTTAGGAAAATTCTAAATGCCAGATTTTACTTTTTTGAAAAATTATTTTATTTTCCATATCCTTTTGTGGTTTGTTCTCAGATATTTTATTCTGAATTGCTCATGAACACAGTTCAAATTACACCCCAATCATTTCAGTCTTTGCCATCAGTTAGGATTTTTAAGATGCAGGTGTACTTTTTCTAAAATCCTGAAATTTATTATCAAAATTAAAATAAATTTATATAGAAAATAAAGGAAACCGGTAGATAAAAAACTAGGGAAAGATGTATTAAGAACAATTGTCAGAGAGGAATATATGCATGGCTTTGAAAATCTGGATCGGACTCATGTTGTGTTCACATAGGACTATGTATTGATGTATGTTTTAATTTCTTCCCAGCAATCATCAGGACACTAGGTGTCGCTAGAATCCAGCAAAATTCTGGACACAGCCTTACGAGAATTAGAGCAGATTAACAGCCAATGAAAACGATGTAATAACATTCTATTAAGGATTTTAGGCTTTCTCTCCTTTATTGTTGTTCATTTTGTTCTCTTCCTCCTCCTCTTTTCCCTCCTCCTTGCCCTCCTCACCCTTCCTTTTCCTCTTCTTCCCCCAACCCCTTTCCTTTCTCTGTGAATTCAGCTATTTTACAGAATACAGAGCCACATGACTGAGTTTCCCTTTACTGAGCCCTCCTGAGCCAGGAGGACAGCAGACACTGTTTTTCCTTTTACAATAGAGCTGGGAGAAGACACAATGTCTTCCTAACCTTCAAAACTGCTGAAGTCATTGCAGGCAATCTCCTCCACTACCGTCTGTTTCTCCCTCTTAGTCTGTGTGAACCAGGAGAGTGAGGTTCCCATGAGGAGATCTCAAAGTGCTGTTTGGGCTCCTGATTTTAGCTGACTCCCGCTGCCCAGGTTTCTGGCTTCGGTCCATCCGTGCAGGACTTGGAAACAGTGTGTGACGATAATATACCTCCCTCTGACTTCATTTCTATTTCACTTTAACAACATTGAAGTAGTTTTTAAACTTTAATTATCCTTAAGTAAGAATTATGTATAGGTGCTACAGTTACTACACGGCTTACTACAATAAGATAAAAAACCACTTACTTAAAAAGCTCATTTCTGTCGATGGCTCTGTTGGTCTGGGGGTCGATGGCATAGACAGTCAGATCGCACTTGCTGTAGTCTTCTAAGGAGAACGCGTCTCCATGGCGACGGGCACCAATGGACTCTACCACAACCTTGGCACCAGGAATTTGCTCCTGAACATAGCGATCCAAAATCCTATATATAAAATAACACATAAATACGACATTCTGATTGATAGTGAGGATTAAAAAAATCCACCTCCATCTGAAATGACAGTTAGTAAAAGATGGTTGGTTTCTGGTCATGTTTACTACGTATGAACCATTGGACAAAGTCTCTATGGGTTTTCAGCATTCAACTCTCAGTGATTTTGGAGGATGGATAAGCCTAAGAGGTTATCAACCATGTGCTATTTAAGCCTCAAGTTCTGAATTTATAATATCATTTGAGTGTTTACCTGGCTCACAGGAAATGTCAGCTCTATTGCACAAACGAAGCTGTCGCTGGTTTAAAGGAGACACAGGACACTGGGACTCTCCACTCATATTGTTGATACCATAAATGATACCTCTACAGGAGCATGTGATACTAGCAACATGCTACAGGGGAGGAATAGAACACCAACTTTCCCAAGGACACAAAGGTCCTCAGAGCATGGTCACAATAGAAGAATGTAGACATGTTTAGTGAGCTTACAAGACTAAATATTCCATGAACATCCCAGAAGCTAGTTAGCATAAATATAAACACTTAAAAAAATGTATTATCATCTTCTATGGAAAAAGAAATATTTGGTAGAAGATAGAAATGATGTTATCCATTAGATCATTTCTTAGAGAGTATAACTTTTCTCTAATTGTATAACTTGATCTTAATTGAAAATACCTATTATTAAACAGTCATTGTTTCCTATATTTCTATAAATAGGAACTTCTTTAATAATGTCTCTATTATTAAAACATTATATCACTAACACTTGTAGAGAATATTAGAGTATACATTACAGTCTTATATTTAAGTGTAAAGTATTAACAATAACCGTATATGTCAAGTTCTTTTGAGATAGGGTCTCACTATGCGGCACAGGTTGACTTAAAACTCAATCCATAGATCATTGCCTTTTCATACAGAAACTGTTCTTTACCCAAAATATCTTCACTCTTACATCTTTCTTTTCAACATATTTTTCTCCAACTTACTGCCTCCCTTTCATTTTATATCCTTTTATGTTACCACGAGACATAGGGAGATTAACAAAATTATCATCTTATTAAAAGAAATTTGAATTCAATATATATATAACATATAACAGAATGTAATAACATTGCCTTGGTGCATATTATTATACCAAGAGACTTAGTATGTTTCCAGGGAAACCCCATACAAAACATAAGACCGCAAAATATCTGTTCAGTCTTTGTAGAGAATGACTTACAGTGGCCTTGCTTTCGACTTGGAGTGAGTGCAAACAGCAGACGGAGAAAGAAATAAGAGCAGAGACAAAGCCAATGATGTGATCTTAGTCAAGACACGGGTACGAGTGAGTTTTATAGGCACATAAAGGAAGAAGTGTAGGGGTTACATAATGTATGCTATTAAAATCTCCAAGGTCAAAGTCCAACCTACTTAAATCAATGTAATTCTCTTAAATTATTGATCTGTTCATGGTAGCAACTACAAGGAACAGCTTAAAAGAAAATAATGCATATCTAAGTTCATTCCCAGTTTTTTTTGGGGGGGGGTTGTATATGCTTTAGCTAAATGTTATACCTTGGTAAAAAGTACCAGACTGCAGATCACAGTTGGAGGCCTATCTAATGTGGACACCGGGGCTAAACAGGAGAATATTTTGCCCTCACCATCCGAGGTTGACTAGATACCAGGGGACTGTGGGGCCATCTCTAAAATTGCTCTGTAACTTTTCGGTGTCACTGGCCTCTTGTCCAGGGAAGCCATGGAGATCTCCCTTGGTGGACTCCAACCAGTATCTATGACATAGGGGAATGTCCTCGGTGCTTTCACGTGGAGCTGCAGCAAATCAAGCCCCTCCGCTCATTCTCATTCAGATGGAAAAACTGGAAATGGAGACCTAATGAACCAGAGACTCTTTCTGAGCCCAGCTGAACCCTGAGGACCGACACACAAGTGGCCTTAGCAGTGAAAAAGACGGTTAATTTTCTCCACTTTCCTGACCTTAAATACCCAGAAAGAAAGTATAAAAGATTAGAAGAATTGGTATATTTCTATAACAGTCTGAGGGATTATGTTCTCTAAATATTATGCTTAAATCTATATAAGATGTTATTTAGACAACTATTTCTCACTAATGATATTGATTATAAGAGTCCCAGATATAAGATACCATGACATTGACTCAATTCAACACCACAGCACCTACTTGCTACAACAGCAAAAAAACAAGATAGTTCCACTACTATTTTAACTTAAAGACCAAATGTTGATTAAATTTGTTCTTTCTCTTGTTCTCTAAAAGCATCTTGGAGGGACTTCACACTGTGATGCTAGCTACTCCAACAGCTTTCAAAGTACCTAGAGCAGATCCTTGGCTCAACAGTCTTGAGCTCCGTCTTTGGAACTAAAGGAAAACTTTGGAAGAACACAATGGAGGAATGTGTTTGAGCTTTTCTAGAGATTTCAATGGACATTGATTGGACAACTCATGAACATTCTGTAATCTAGCTCCTCCTGGCTCCCTGCCTAGGAATTGCAATGCTAAAGACTCTTGTCTTTACTTCTCCCTGGCATCTCTACCCAGGCACAAGGCAAGGATTCTTTTCCTCCCTACCCTTGGCTGTCAGACAAATGTAACCATGAAGTACCTTTGACGTCCCCTAGCTAGGTCCATTAGTGGGGATACCCCAACTATCAGGTCTGACGACCCACCCGGCAGAACGATGCCATCTTTGGTCAGTATCCCAGTTCCCTGAATGGCACCTATTATATCTTCCTCTATGTAGAGGATAATAAGGCCAGGAGAGAGAGATAGCAGGCAGTTTAAGCACAGGGGCCTCAGCGCATGCTCTCGGCCAGAAGTTGAAAATGTCCTTGGTCTTGTCCTGGTTGGAAGCCAAAAGCATCTGGCAGTCTAAAGAATGAACAGTCTTGGTAGAGACTGAACATTTCAGTTGGGCGAGTCAGTGACCTGGCTAAGGGATCACTGCTCGGAATGACGGGTGAACCTTCAGCTATGCCAAAGAGAAGGAAAGACTAAACAGCCCTTTGACGAAATGATGTAAAATTCTTTCCTAGGACCCCCACCCTCTAGCACAGTAGCTTAGGGAGCTTTGCAAGTCTGCCTGAGAGCTTTGCTTTTCCAAATTACCCAGAAGAGTGCGACTTTCCGTTTCCTCTTCTCTTCCAGGTGCCTGCTTTCTTTAGAGCTTTAGGCTTCGCTTTTTCTCCGAAGCGCCCCTCCCCTAATGTGTCTGCTTCTTGACCACGTGACTGGCCGGCACACAGGCTGAAGTCAAACCACCAGGAACTTTGCCCTCTTCTGTTCCACATTTCTCCTCCAGGCTCTTGCAAGATTTACAGCCTGCCTGCTCTCTCAAAACTCAGTAAAATTGTCCTTGAGGCCCTTTTGGAGTCCATTCTTAGATTTCTTTTTAATTCACAAGACTAAGAACCTCATGAGGGGACCCTGATATCCCCAGTAAATGTGATTCTTCCAGGTCTCCTCCATGTGGACACCCACAGGATCCTCCCTGGAGATTCTTCTTGGAGAAACCCAGAGCCATCCCATGGGTGTGTCTTTCTGTGTGCCCCTTTATGCAAAACTCGTTTCTAGGATTCTCATCCTCTAGCACAGTAGTTGAGAGAGCTCTTTACATTCACAGTTAAAGTCTATATTAGAATCCCCACTCTAATCTATGTGAGTTCGAGGCCAACCTAGTCTATAGAGTGAATGCCAGGACAGGCTCCAAAGCTACACAGAGAAACCTTGTCTTGAAAAACCAAAAATAAATGAGTAAGTAAATAAATAAAAAGAATTTTCACTCTATTTCATTAAAAAAAAACAAAACAAAACAAATACTCAATACATAGCCCATGCAAGTCAGGTATTGCTGCCCATGCCTGCAAATCCTAGAATTTGGGAGGTAGAGGCAGGAGAATCAAAGGTTCAAGCTTGTCCCTGGACAATCTGGTCTATATGAGAACTGTCTCAAACAAACAAACAAATAAACGAAGTGTGCAGCTCATACTTCCTTAAATTTGACTCCTGTTTTGTTCTCAATAGTGCTGGGATTATTGGTGTGTGCTACCATCCTGGTTAAATTTATCTGCAGATTTAATGCTCCTTTTTTGAAGTATTTGCGAGAGCAGCATAATCGAAAACGTTGGTACATCTAGAAATAACTTTGTTTCAAATATCAAACTGACCGACTTTCTGCTCTATTAAAAAATGCATCGCCTTAAGAGTCCAGTGTGTGCTACTTTTGCTCTTATTTCAAGAAAAATCAAGATCTTAACTTCAAAAGGAATTTGTATAATGGTGCATGCTGGGAGATGCTGCCAATTACAGTGAAATTGTTTTGTTTGCTTGATTGATCTTAGACTTGTGTAGGGCAGACGCTTGAAGCCTGTCTCGTTAGAGTGCGACTCTCTTTTTCCATTTCTCTCATTCATTAGTTTCTCCACTTTTCCTGCTCATTCCTAGTGAGAATCCCAAGGAAAACAAGCTAAACAGGGAAGACTCATGGAGAGGGGACAGTCACATACCAGACACCATGACTATCTGACTTCAGTGTCCGTGGACAGAGAGGGAAAGGGGTCTCAATTAACAGCAATATTTTTGATCCGTATTTTAGGGCTTTCTTTCTCTCTGAGAGATTTACACTTATTATAATAATGAAATTCCGAGAGTCACATAAAATACACAGAATATAAGAAGGGCATCCATGCCAAATCACATTATAATTTTGACATTTTGTAGGTACAGACAGCATGAAACTAGCTGGCTCATTCCGTTTCTGGAACCTAGGTATATGCACTGCCATTTCAATGCATTCCATCTTTTATATAAAGTTGTAATAATTGCTACTGCCTTTGAAAGATATCTATAATCTAGATATCAGTTTTGTCATTAAATTTCCTATGAATCAGAACCCCAAAACTTAAAAATTACCAGTGTGCTTTTCAGAAAGTTATTGGACAAATAAACTGTGGTCTATCAG